AAACCCTAAACCCTAAGCCCGAAACCCTAAACCGTTGCCTAAACCCTAAACCCTAAACCCGAAGCCCGAAACCCTAAACCCTAAACTCTAAACCCAAAGCCCTAAACCCTAAACCCTAAACCCCAAACCCTAAGAGGGCCTCGCCCTCCAGGACGTAGCCGTCCGCGCGGCCGCACTGCCCGGGCCTCGAGGCGATGCAGGCCAAAAGGCGGCCGCTCTGGAACTGCTCCTCAGGGTTTAGGGTTTAGGGTTTGGGGGTTTAGGTTTAGGGTTTTAGGTTTAGGGTTTAGGGTTTAGGGGTTTAGGGTTTTAGGGTTTAGGGTTTAGGCAACTGCTCCTGAGGCTCTCTTGGGTACTGCCCCCAGGGAGTATCGGTGTAGAGGGCTACCATTACGGGCCGTATATCTCTATCCATATGCGCATTACTGCGTGGGAGCGGTATCCAAAGGCTCTCGCCCTCTCCATCTCTACTGTTTTTGAGGGTTTGGGGTTTAGGGCTTTAGGGTGTAGGGGACTCTCTCTGAACTACTCTCGCTTTCTTTGGGTGGGCTTAGGGTTTAGGGTTGAGGGTCTAGGGTCTAGGGTTTCGAGTTTTGGGTTTGCGGGCTTAGGGCCCAAGCTTTAGGATTTAGGATTCAGAATTTAGAATTCATTTTTGGTAGAGGGGTGTAGTATGAAGCGTATTATAAAGGGTTCAAGACGATAAGGATTGCTGTAAGTGGCTACTATAAGAAGATAAGAAGTGCTATCGATTTTGTTTAGAGCTTAGGGTTGGTCGAGAGATTGCTATAAATATATTCCTGTAAGGACTACTGGAAGGTTTTGGTGTTCGGGGCGGGGTTGGGGTTTTGCGGGTCCTACAGGACTGCTCCCCAGGACTTCTCTCAACGTCTTTAGAGGGCTTGGTGGATTGGACTTGTAGATGGTTCTTATGAGGTGCTTTTAAGTCTGAAAAGTCGTTCACTGGGTCCTTATGAAGGCTTTTTACGGTTCCTCTAGGTTTGGGATTCTTTGTGCCTTAGAGTTTCGGGAATTCGTACTTGGAACTATCGGCCACTCGCAAGCAAACGCAGGGCACAGGAGTCAAGCTGATGTAAACCCTAAATATTACGATCCTTCTGATACCCAAAAATAACCAGAGACGCCTTTCGGGGCTGGCAACTGTGAGGGTTGTAACGAGGCCTTCGTTTGAACGAGCTTTGCCAGAACGTTGCTGCATAACTGCATAGAAACTCTTACAAGGTGATACTCTGACCTCTGCTTCAAGGCTTTAGGGGTGTCAAGCTTGAGTGTGGGGGTCATTAAACCCTAAACCCTACATGCTTTACATCATAAACCCAAACCCCCAACCTGCCCCAAAATCCCAACGAGTCCTCCAGCAGGGTGTCCAGCTTAGTCCTCGGGCGGCAGGGTTCCACACCGGTCCAAGCCGTTCTATGATACAGTTCAGGGTTTGGGCCCCAGGGTTTGGGAATTTGGGCCCTAGGGTTTGGGAATTTTGGGTTGACTGTTCCGAGAGTTTCTACAGTAGGCAAGCCTAGACGTAGATTATCAGGCAGCATAACGTTTGAGGTTCAAAGTTCAGGATCGAGGTTCCGAGACGGCGATTAAACCTGAAACGTTTCAGGGTTTGGGGTTCAGGGTTTAGGGACAGGAGTTCTGAACCCTCTACACCCACAAAAAAACACACACGCAAGACCCACAGGAGCTTCTGGACAGCGCGCTGCTCTTTGGGGATGGAACATTTAGGAAATGTAGGGTCTACTCTCAGGATCATGGGCAGTCCTGAACAGATTGCAAGGTAAGGCGACTTCTATGGCTATGACTGCTTGCTCCACAATTAACATATTAAGGTGCTTACAACCCCATACACACAGATATATATATATATATACATACATATATATATATATATATGTATGTATCACATTGTGTTATATTATGTTTATGTTAGACTATTTACTAGACTAGACTATACTAGACTAGACTAGGCTAGACTGTACTATACTGTACTATACCATACGATACTATACTATCTTACATTACATTGTATCATGTTATGTTGTCTTATATTATGCTACATGATATTATCTATATCATGTTGTGTTATGTTATACTATAACATATTATATTGTACTATGTGATAACAAATGTTAGATCATAAAATATATGTCATAACATATGCAAAGTTCTATCATAGTATGTTGCATTGTATATTATGTTATATTATCTCACATCATACCATATCATATTATATGACATTACCTTATATTATGTAGATCTACCGATGAATCTTTCAGCAGGGTTTGAAGGCTTGAAGTTTTGCCACCCCTTTGGGCTTAACCTGAGGCCAAGGTGCTTGGAGGCACGTGCCTTCTGCTTTGCGATGACATGGCGGCTCAGCTTCACCTACCCGGAACTCGAATCGCAGACCCCGGGCTCGAAATCTTATGCCTGGGGCTTTTGGGGCTTTGGGCTTTGGGAGTTCACTTCGGGAGGGCGGGAGGGCTTCGGGCAGGAGGGACCCGAGACTGATCCGCAGATTCACAGACAAGCCCTCAAGTGGATGCAATCCTGAACCCCTAAAGGGGTGATAGGTTCCCAACTACACAGAACCCCAAAAGTAGTGAATGCCCCACACCCTCCCCAAAAACAAAACGTAGCCCGAATCCCCCGACAATGTACAGAAAGCCGTGACACTAGTAGAGTATGGTGAGTGGCAAACCCCTTAAAGGGGCGGGCTTTTATCAAAACTCTACTGCACCGACCAACCAGGGTGATATGTATATACATATATATTTTAACTTGTATTATGTTATATATATACACACATTGATAAACAAACACCACAACAGTGCCTCCTCCTTTTCCTCCTTCTTCTCGGTCTTGTCACCTCCACAGAACGCTTCGAGGCTTTCGAGTTTTAGGGGGCTGATTAGGGTTTCGCGTCCAGGGTTGAAATGAATAGCGTTGGGGCTCTGAGACCAGGCTGCTCTGGACACAAGCCAAGGTGGGGGTTTAGAGTTTAGGGTTTTGGGTTTAGGGTTCAGGGTCCCTTGAGGGACATCCGTGCCGAAGCATTTACAACCGTGTCGGCACACGGAAATAAGAAGACTCCAACAAAGTCGCGAACCTAAACCCCTAAGCCCCGATCGAAACCCAGAGCACCTCCAAGAATAAACCGTACATCTCAGCCCCTACACCCCGCAGCCACACCCTAAAGCCCCAAACCCTCAAACTAGGGGAAAAGGGAGGAGGTGTCTAAAACCGTTGTTGAGCAATACTTGTCTTACCTTCGGGGGTTTTGTAGGCAGTGTTCTGGAGCCATCGACAAGCCACTTCTCCATGCCTGCCAAGCCCTGTATTCCTTTAAGTACAGGAAAAGCCTCTGGGCCCGTCCTTCGTATCGGAGCCCCCTAAACCCTTTATAAGCCTTACACCACCAAACCTAAGAACCCTAACAGCTCTAAACCCCCAGACCCCCTAAACACTGTAAAGACCACTTTGATGCAAAGACACTACAGAGAAGAGAACGGAAAGAAGTAATCCCCCCAAGGGGCCTCCCTTCTTCTTCCTGCCAAGGTCGACTCCATACTTCTTCTGGTAGTACTGCATGAAGGGGTGGGCATCGATCCTTGGAAACACGGGAAGCTAGGAGTTCTTGGAGGAGGATTAGTAGTAGTCGCCGTCGCCGCGGTAGTGTGGTAGCGGCAGTGACAGCGGCAGCGGAAGGTGTAGGGGTAGCGGTAGGGGTAGGGGTAGGGGGGTAGGGGTAGTGGCAGTGGCAGGGGCGGTGGCAGCGATAGTGGTAGTGGTTGCGGTAGCGGTCGTGGTAGTGGCAGTTTTCGGGGAACAGGTTCGGTAGGGTATCATATAAAACAAGTATGTTGCCTACAGTTTGCTCCTGAAAAAGTCTCACAGGAAACCCTTGGATGCTACAAGGTATGTTCATTCAGGCTCCAATAGCCCTTTGGTTTGAGTTCCCATCTTGAGACTCTCTCTTGCAACTTGAGGACTCGTCCTGAAGTAGTAGACCCCAGTATACAACCCCAAATAGGAGGATCCTGATCGCAATGGCCCCGAAGCACAGGCCCCAATTCAAAGAAGCCCTCACGCAAGGGCTCTGCACCCTATTATGCCCTAAACCCTAAACCCTATTATATCCTAAAACTCAGACAAAAACCCTATCGAGGGTTTTTGAACCATCGACCCAGCGGCCTATGCCCTAAACCCAAACCCTAACATTACTTCAAAGGGCTTGACAGACTCATCCCTAAGCGCCAGAAACCCTCCCTAGCCAGATCCAAAAATCCTTACTTGAGTTGACCTTATCCAACCTAAAGCCTTACAGTACCCTTACAGTCATTACTATTATTACCAGTATTACTATTAATACTATAATTGCTCTTACTACTCTTATTACTATTATTACTATAATTACAATTATTACTATTGTTACTTTAAGAAACCCTGGAGAAGTTGTAGCCGCCGGGTCCCTACGGATCCAAGTTGCTGGACGACGGTGTTCTTGAGCCTAAGACAGCCGCAGCTCCAGGGGGTTCTTGAGGGGTGGAACGGTTGATGATATAAATCCTGCATCACCCATAATAAAAAGGAATATACCATAATTCCCCATAGTTTAGGGTCCTTAAGGTAACGCAGGATTTATATTATCAACGGTATGGAGCCTTCGGGCTTTAGGGTTTCAGGACCTGGGCTGCTGTAGCGTTTTGCAGGTTGGGGTCCGGATGTTGATTCGGAGCTGCTGGTTCTGTTCAGGACGGGCCCTTCCTGTCTTGTGAGGCAACATGACTACACAGCTGACTTCATTCGACAATTACCCAGGAAACTGTAAGCTGAGTATGGCGTGGTGTGTCATACGGCTCTTGTAACGTTTACACAGGTGCGTAAGGAGCTGGCTTCAATGCGTTGAGCCTCAGGGTTCCAGTGTCAAGACACCTGAAAACGCAGAACCCTAGTCTGTTTGTCGATGCCCTTATCTTGAAGCCTTCGGGTTTAGAACGCCGGGCTGCTTTATCAGACAGGGCCTCAGGGCTGTAGCTTTGCGCATCAGCTACACTGATGATATCAACGACAGTGGTCAGAAGGTGGAGGGAGCGAACGATGCTGACAGTGACGGTACAACAAGAAGAAGAATGTGATGACGACGATGATGATGATAATGATGGTGATGGTGATGGTGATGATGTTGATTTTGATGATGGTGATCAACTGATGATGACGATGATGGTGATGATGAAGATGATGATGATGATGATGTTGATGATGATGATGTTGATGATGATGCTTACGATGATGATGATGATGGTGATGATGATGATGATGATGATGGCGATGATGATGGTGATGATGATGATGATGATGATGCGAGTGTGATCTTCATGGTGATGATGGCGGTCAAGACCTTGTTACAACTCTTAGTAGATGCGTACCATCAACAAAGCCATGGTGATTGGTAATGATGGTGCGGTGCGCTTCCTGCTTGTACTGTTTGTCGCCATTGTTCAGGGTCAGGGGACTCAGCGTGCAGGTTTCGACTACGAGCTGCCTTCAAAATCGTTGATCGGAGGCTGTGGTTGTGCTGGTTGTCGTGGTGTCGTGGTGGAGGTTTCTGGGTCGATTGCACTACTTACGAACACTCTTGTCCGCCATGTCATGATGTTGGCTCTTCCTCTCGTTCTCTCATGATGCCTGTTCCACTGATCAGGGGTTACACTGGTTGGGGCCTGTGCATTGTTCTTACGAGGGCTTGATGCTCGGACTATTTTGCTAAGTTGAGTGGCACCGCTACTGTTCATTACATGGTCAGGCGAACAACTGACCTCCGCATTGCGTCTTTGTGCCCCAAGCGCTAAATCATGACCCTGAAACCATCAACCTCAACGAAAGAAACCCTAAACCCTTCAACCCTAAAACCCATAAACCGTAGGCCCCTACAGTACACTCCCAAACCCTCGAACCCTAAACCCCCCACACCCTGAACCGCACGAACCCTCCCTTTCTGAGTCCAAGGGGCAGGGTCTTCGTACGCACCAACTCGTTGCTCGTGGCGTTGTAGACCACGTCCAAAATCCTCACCTGGGGATTAGGGCCTCATTGGCATTATCATGAGGGGACCAACAAGGGTTCTGTAAGGGATCTATGTAGGGTTTAGGGTTGTTTTGCTTCGGGGCCTGGAGTTTAGAGTTTAGTGTTTCGGGCCCAAGGTTCAGGATTTTCACAGCTTGGGTTCACGGTCGCTTGTGGTAGACGTTGTCGTGGTAAACTCCCCTGAGGCTAAAACAGAGGCCTGAAAAAGTAGAATAGGGCTTTGGCGTATAGTGTATACTATTCTAGGTCGAATCACAGCCAAGAAAAGCGACAAGACATAGTATTGGCAATTACTCAGGCTTGCATAGTACTTGCCGAACCTACAAGTACGAGGAATGAGAAGTAGCAGTAGGAGTAGGTGCAGTAGTAACTTGGTGCTGCTGCTGGTGCTGCTGCTGGTGCTGCTGCTGGTGCTGCTGCTGGTGCTGCTACTGGTGCTGCTGCTGCTGCTGGTGCTGCTGGTGCTGCTGGTGCTGCTGGTGCTGCTGGTGCTGCTGCTGGTGCTGCTGGTGCTGCTGGTGCTGCTGGTGCTGCTGGTGCTGGCGGTGCTGGCGGTGCTGGTGGTGGTGGTGCTGCTGCTGGTGGTGGTGCTGCTGGTGCTGGTGCTGGTGCTGGTGGTGGTACTGGCGGTGGTGGTGGTGGTGGCGGCGGTGGTAATGGTAGTGGTGGTGGTCGCAATAGGTGTTGTCGTTGTCGTGGTGATAGTAGCTTCCGTCGTGGCGGTGCTGGTGGTGGTGGAAGTTGAAGTAGCCCGTCGTCGTAGTAAAGTCGTTTTCGCAGCAGTGGTGGCATCAGTAGTGGTCGAATCGTAAAGATGTACAGGGCATGACAACAATAAGAGCCAGCGAAACTGCGCCTTCTTGGCGATGTTCTCGGAGCCCCAGGCGTAGTTGCCGGCGTCCAGGCGCAGAGCGCGGTACTTCCTAGGCATTGCCACTCGGAGTCTTTACACTACCATGACTACCACTGCCTCACTGCCATCATCCCCATCATCATAACCATCATCAAAACCATCATCATAACCATCATCATCATCATATCACCAGCACCAGCAGATAAATGAGCCAGCTTCGCCAATGTCCGCGTCATCATCACCATCTGGCCGATGTGTTTTACATTCGCTGCGCGGCAGTGCATTCGTTCTTGCTGTGCCTTCGCTCGGCGCTTGATTTCCGTCTTTGTGGTGTGCAGTGGCTTTTGGTTCTAGTTAGGGCACCTTTCGCGAACATGCACCCAAAATTAGCAGGAGCCGTGCCTGTGACCATGAAACTGCATAGTCCTACTGGGCGAAAGCACCACAAAATCACATTGGTTTCCATTGCCATCTCCATTCCCAAAAAAAAAAACAGCGGCGCCCAAAGCCCAAAACCCCCAAAGTCTCCTCCAGTGCGATCTATAGCTTGCCCTCACAAAGGAGACATACGCTAGACAGAAATGACGCGGAAAGCACCCGGGGGTTTGGGGCTTAGGGAGACTAGTAGTCTAGGGCTTTGCGCTTAGAGTTCTGATACTTGAGCTCTAAGCCGGCGCGCGAAGCCCCGAAATAAAAACGTTCGGAATCCCCAACCCCGGGGACTGGGCACTTAGCCTTCTTCCCTCATAGAACTCTTACCCCCACGAACCTTCATCCCAAATCCGAAACCCCGACAACCCTGAAGCCCGAAACTATCTGAAATTCTGAAACCTCCCAACCCCTACCTTCACGTCATCATCTTTCAAAGGTGCTTGTTGCCGCCGCGGCAGCGGACGACTCGCACCTTCAGCGGCTTAGGGTGTAGGGCCGCAGGCTCCATCGTTTAGGGTTTAGGGGTTTAGGGTTTAGGGTTTAGGGTTTAGGGTTGAGGGGCTGCTGGACTCGCTTGACGAGGTGGGCTTTGGGGTCTTGGGCACCCAAAAACACCGTCAGGGTCCCAACACCCAAAACCCCAAAGACCCTCATCGAACCCTTACAGCCTCTGCCACGATCCCTTATAGAACCTTCCTCGATCCCTAAACCCTAAACCCTTAAACCCTAAACCCCCTTCCAGATTCACTGCTGCCGGGAGACGCGCTTCGGGCCCAGCTTGCAAGGCGTGGCCGGGCGGCCCATCTCATACTTGCGCTTCTTGATGGAGACCTGATTGGTGTTAGGGTTCAGTGTTTAGGGTTTAGGGCTTTAGGGTTTTAGGGTTTTAGTTTAGGGTTTAGGGTTTACGGTTTAGGGGTTTAGGGTTCAGGGTGACCCCCGAAAACCTCTGGAGCAAAGCTCTCTACTGCGGCCGGGTGCCCCGAAGGGCCAGTGCTTGTTATTGGGGGCCTGCATAACACACAGCATTAAATCCTGACCTGCCCAAACCCTCAATACCCTCAACACCGCGGCACATTGCTACGGCCGCCGGTCTTGTAATGCTTGTGCCGCGAGTCACGGGAGATTCCCATGGCGGAGCTCCTGCGCGAGACTCTTCGGGTTTAGGGTTTAGGGGTTTAGGGTTTAGGGAGGGATATCGACGGCTGTTGAAGTGTTGAAGGTTTGGGCACTCTTGTTTGGGGCGGGGTTTCGGGTTCACGGGGTGGCTAGGGCTGCAAGGGTTCGGGAGAATGGGGGAGATTGTAGCCTCACTTTCGGAAAGGCTTGGTCCTACAGTTCTCATCCTCGGGCTCCAGACTGAAACCATACCCCTATCATCCGAGAATCCGACAGGTGAGAATTGTCCAGGATTCTCCTAGTCAGGTCGGAACAGAACCTGCGGAACCTGTCTCTTATGACCACTAGGAACAGAGGCTAGAAGCTCCGAACAGCGGGTTTCCACAAGGTCCAGGTAGGTAGTTAAATGCTTGCCATATGGCTCGAAACCGCCCAAAGGCCCATGCAATGCATAGCACGGCCCCCCAAGCCCTAAACCCTATCTTTGGGCGCAAAACCAATGAAACGTGAGTCTTTAGAGCCTTTGGCCTAGAGCACTCGACGTGAAACCTCTTGGATGCAGCCCCGAATCAGGAAGAAGTGCCTTTGAGAAACCCGGCCAGCGGAAATATCAGTGATTGTCCTCCCAAACCCCGGGCCCCAAACGGGAAATTCAAATCCTCCAATTAGAATTGTGTGTCGCTCTTTCTGGGAGTCCCTGATGGCCTCGGGTGCAAGACAGATGATGGCTTATGGTACTCCCATAAGGCTTATGGGAGCCGTGTTATGGGTCTTGCCGCAGCTGACAGTGAGGAAGAACGGGAGTCATTCCTGCTGTGTTTGTACTGGGTTTCTGTCACAACACAGGGGGAACCATGCCACTAAGCACCAAAAAAAACCTCCCATTTGACGACGGTTCTTGGCTAAGAGATTCTCGTTGAAGCCGTTCAGAACGCCACCGCCCCGCGTCCTTGAGTTTCACTCGCTGCAGGTGTTCCAAAGCTTCCGTGGCCACTGCTTTGAACCGGAACGGCCCCCGGTGCGGCGGCGCGGCACTCAAGAGTCTTCGAGACTACTATTACCTTGGTCGGGATCCATAGTCTACTATAGCCTATAGTAAGTAATATGATAATATGGTTTCCTATAGTAAATAATATGATAATATGGCTTCCTTATTATAGTCTAAGTCTTCGAAACTACTCTGCGCCGACTCTTACAGCGACTCCTGAGCTCTGGGAATAAGACCTCGGAAGAATCTCCAGATCAAACCGGCGGGGCTAGGATGCTCGGGAGAGGAGTCTGCAAGGCGTCTAGATCCGAATCTAGGCTTCCGTGCGATGCAGGGTTTGGAAACCCTCTTCTAATGACTAAGGCCCCTAAAGCACCGGGAAGCGCTCCGGTGTGGGCTCCGTTGCCGACTCCCCCGGCTCTTTGTCGCCTGAAGCGGCCCCAGTGCTCTTTGTGCCGGGTTCGGGCTCCCTTAAAGCTTCGGGCCTTGGAATCCGAGGCCTTGCGGACTTAGAGATTGCCATCTCGTGTTATGTAGGAGCCTGAACAAGTAGAATAGGGTTTTGGGGGCTCCGTATTATGGTTCTAGTATAATATACCCCAAACCCTATTCTAATTATTAAGGCCCCTATACCCTTACCCTGTACCCTTAACCCTCATAGTAGCCCTTAAAGAGCCCTTTAAGGAACCCTTTAAAGGAACTCCCAAAAAATTCGGCTTCAGTGCCTTCAGGGGTCGCCATCCCAGAACCAAGAGACTCCTCGGCCCCTTAACCCTCAATCCCCCAACCCTCCCCCGCTCTTTTGTGGTCCTAACGGAAGCTACTAAAAAGCATCTGAATGATTATAGCATAATAATCATCCTAAACGGAAGCTACTAAAAGCATCTGGATGATTATAGTAATCCATCATCTTCCCTTATCTTGCTCTGCTTGTTAAGGCCCCGCCCCCCTTCCCATGCCGCCGAAGGAGCGGGGCTCTTCGACAGCGGCCGGCATGGCTGGCGTGATGCTATCGCTCTCGGACTTTACAACTGTGTTTGGGCTTAGGGTTTGAGCTTTAGGGTGATGGGGCTGTGGATTTGGAGTTGAGCATTTCGGGTGTACTGTCGAGTTTTCGAATCATTGGAAGAAAGGCCTGGGTATAGTATGCTAGAGTTTTAGTAAAGAGCCGGGCAGGAAAGAATAGCTAACTTTTTCAGGCCCCTACATGAAGGCTTGGAAATCTGGGGTTTTGGGGGGTTTCGGTTTCGGGACCTTGAGCATCAGCGAGGGAGTTGCGAAGCTGGAGCTTCTGAAAGTCTTCAGGGTTTAGGGTTTAGGGTTTAAAGTCTTCAGGGTTTAGGAATTAGGGTGTGGTCGTGAGGTTTATAGTCGAAAAGAACATGAGTCGGTTACCTTAATACGTAGAACAGAGTCTCGGGTTATAATATACTGTAGTTATAGTAGAGAACCTAAGCAAGGAAACCCGTTCTGAGACGATCCTCACACTTCAACCTATAAGATACACTCAGCATAAAGCCGCGATGCACCCTACTACGTAACCCAAATTGTGTGGAATCCCTCAGGAACGATTCGGAATATCGAAACTGATATTGCACCTCAAGGGCTTCGAAGTGCACTAGAGGCGGCGGTTTGGGGCCTAAGGTTGAGGGGTCAGGCTACCGGACCCGAGAGCGACAAAACGACCAGAGACCCAACATGAGCACACCCGAAGAAAGCTTTAGGTTAATCCATTCGCAATTGCGTGGAATATTCCACAGAGACACAAACTGAGATTTCACTTTGCACATGTCCATGACCACTCAGTCACCTCGCACTCACACCCTAAACCCTGCGCTCAAGACTTTGAACATAGCAAGCGCGAGAACTCTTTCCGTCGAGTGCGCTCTGTGGCAGCGTGGAGACGGGACCAGGCAGGACGTTCGGCCCATCCGGGTTTTAAGCTTCCGGGGGACAATAGACCCGACCACTACAGGGTTCCGTAGATCCGAAATGGTTCCATCAGGCTTCTCTAACAGGACTAGACAAGCTTTTCACGGTTTTTCACACCTTTTTTCAGACTGTCTAAAGTCCGAAAGCGACTTTCGCTAGGTGTGGTTGGCATACATGTAGGCATCGATCATTCGCATCATCACCCTCCGCCTCACATTTCTGGTCGCCCACCTATGCCCCCTGCATGCCCATCACCTTCCAGCTACTCTGCGTGGATGTATACTCGTCGCAGCTGCGCGATTGATGGGAGGAAGAGCCATCCGGTGGTCTCGCCATGAGTTGGACACTGGAAGGGTAAATCAAATTGAGTGCAAAGTGAAAGCTGTGCTCAGATTGTTCGAGCCCACATCTTGAGCCAAGGGTTTACGTTTAGGGTTCTTAAAACTCTTCAGCTGCAGAATCTGCACAGAACTCTCATGGAGCCCATAACATCCCTAAACCCTAAACCCGAAACCCCATAACATCCTATAACACTCAGAACTCTCCACCCGGCCGCAACTCTCCCTTCTGACCCGCTCCGGGCTTTGGCTGCCAGCGCGGCACGCGTGCGCGCCCAGGGGCTTCGGAGTCGTGGGGTGTGGGTGTAGGGTTTAATTAGGGGTTTAGGGTTTAGGGGTTTTGGGGTTTTGGGGTTTAGGGGTCTAGGGCTTTAGGGTTTAGGGGTTTAGTGGAGCCTGATTCCTCCTGAACATCCATGGCCCCTGGAGGCGTCGCGGTTTTTGGCCATTAACAAAGGGGTGAAGGAATCCGAAACTGCACCGAAAGAGCAGATGAAAGGGTTTAGGGATTAGGGGTTAAGGTGATCCTCGATTTTGCGTGCCCGTAAGCTGTCGAAGAAGAGAGTCCACGAGAGACCATGGGGCCTGGGGGCTTGGGTACAGCCTGACCACTCAGCTCTGAACCTAAA